ATTTTAATTTCGTTTTCATTTCCGCGCACAGTCTGTACGGAGTGGAGAGTGGAGAGTGGGAAGAATGTGGAAGGAGCAACAGATAAAAAGAAGACACCGAAAGATTGAAGAATCTGCAACACATGTGAACATGGAGCCCCAGGGCCACAGGGGGCTCAGATACCAACGGCAGCAGCCAATCAATTCGACATTTTAAAAAAATATAAGAAAAATAATGGAGAAAAATCTTTGGGTCGAGTCGACTTTTAAATATCCTAGAATGCAGAAAATAGAATAATGACTCTCTCTATTCAGTATACATATTTAGATCTTATTTAGATTTTTTTGGGAAAGACTTGAGCTGCGGTTTCTATTAGAAGAACGGTGACTGTGACTGAAGATATACTTGATATGCTACTAACCACAGCACAGAAAATTAAGTTTAGTGTATAAATACACAATTAACAAGAAGTTTATCTTTATATCCCACCCCATTCATAGCTTCACATTCAAAATGTATCAATATAAGCTACCAATATGAGCTCGCCTCCTCCCAACACCATACTCCCAGGGTCCTTGAGGCTATCTGTCCTACAGGGGTCATACATTTAGTTCATATCCTTTGGCATCGCTATCGACCAACTCTCCACGCATCCGCCATTTATTATGCAACGGAAATGAGCACAAAGTGTATTCCTGTCTGTCGCTTACTTACCCTCCTTTACCACGCACTTTACCCACTTTCTTTAGCGGTTTCCCCCCGCCCTTTGCCTGCCCCTTATGCGAATATTGTTGCCTGCGGGCGCGTTTCGCTTATGTTGAGAATTAAAAGAAACTTAACTCTTCCGCCAATGCTCGCTCTCTCTCTCTCTCTCTCTTGTCGACATTCTGCGGAAGTTGCAATGAAATTGCCAACATCCGCCAGCAGCAGCAGCAACAATGTGTGGCATGCAACAACAGCACGTGTGCGTATGCCAGACCATCCGACTCGAGCCCAGACAAGGCGTAACGGGAATGAGATAAGTGAAGAGTGGCGTGGAGTGGAGTGGTGTGAGAGGAGTGCCTGCATTTGTCAGTCTAGGCAGCCAATATGGCTGCCTGCTCATTTCCTGTGCGCACAGCGGAAGTGATTTGAGCTCGAAATGAGTGCAGAGAGCACCACTTTTCCCCTTTTTTTTACCTTTCCCAGTAGCAGGTCCTGCAATTGAGATGATATACTGGCGGCAGCGGCTGCGCCTGCTTCATGAATATTTAGGGAAACTTTACGGCTACGGCTTGCCACATGTCAAGGTCAATGTCAGCTCGTGCAGCTGAAACACACATACAAATCTCCCTCCCATTCAGCTTTTCATTTGTTACAGTGTCTGTTTTTCTCTTTGAGTAAAGGGTAGAGGAGGACTCCTTCCCCTTCATCATCTTTAACGAGAGGTAATAAAGTTTTTGGCCTTGAACCTTAAATTTGTAACCCGTTTGCGGCTTCCGAGTTGGGCCATTCTTAGTTACATATATTTTTTCTCTCTCTATCCTCTCCTTGGACATGTACAATAGTCATCCCTTTTTCAATGGCAACACTTCAAACTTGCATTAAACACCTAAGTGCCTCAATCCGGATTAAATGTTTTCGAGGTCGTTTAGCTGGCAAAGCTGGTAGTCCCAGTATTACTCCAAGGGCAACGCTTATTCAAAATCAAGCCCAAGTCGCGGGGCTGCAGTCAGAGATATTTTGCTCCAACTGCAGCCGAAACGGAACATATGCACTGCAGATGATGGATATGCAGAGATGGAAAAGTGTAAATAAATATGGGGGAAATGGAAATGCCAAGTGAAATGCAAATTTGACTTTGATTCCTTTTCGCTGACGCACAAGAGCAACTCTGTGGCTGAGTTTCATATTCGGAATGGCATTTTGCTTGCTGCTCAAAGTGGAAACAGCAGCAAGAACGGAGGAGGAGAGGTGGCTGTTTTCTTTAACCCTGGCATTTACCTGCTGCCTGCTGCTTGGCAATGCAAATGTTAGACAATTTTTCATTTGCATAATGTCCTCAGCTCTGCTGGTGAGATTTCGAAAGTCTGGCAACTTTGTCACTTGCAGACAAGTCGGATTATGCCCGGCACCCACCAAGGAAGAGTACCCCACCACCAAGAGACAGCAACGACGAAACTTTCCTTGACAAATTAGCGCGTTGCAAAAAGAAGTACAAGTTGAAGTTCAAAAACTCCAGAGTAGAGATAAACTTGTGTCCCACATGTGTAATGGTCCTCTCCTCCACGGAGTTGTTCGTCTTTCAGATTGGGTTAACTTATCCGCCGCAACGCCAAGCAGTCGTTTATCGGCAGTTATTGCCACCTTTTTAGAGCTCTTCTACTTGTTACATATTTGCTGTAGTCTGCTCTTCTTTTCTCTACACTTCTTGTACACTTTTATTGCAAATTGAATTGGCTGTGCTGGGGCACGTCCGTTGGCCACTTTGTCAATATATTTTGCACTGCAAACTGCCGCTATAGTGAAAGTTCCTACATATGGAATATGGCTATTGAATGCGGATGGGATACAGGGTGATTTTATCTAGGAGAAGCCACCAATGAATGCTTTCAAGTTCATGAAATCTAGACCGTTACCCTTGCTTAAATTTCTCAGGGGAAACCCTGTTTCGGGGCGAAAGTTTACACGGCTCTGAGCAGTTTTCTTGGACATAAAATGCAGCTGCAACTGTGACAAGGCTGGTGCTGCAACAAAGAACTTTCTGATGGCATTGTTATTCTTGCCCTGGTCAGCACTGGTTAGTCCTGGTCGTTGCCCTTTCCACTGCACATTTTAGAAGCGATCTGAGCGATGGGTTGACCCACTGAGTTCACAAATATTCACATCATCCTGCCCCAGCCCCTGCCAGAATCAGCACATTGTTCGGATCGGGGAACGAGGACTGATGCGGATTTCTGTGTGTGTGTGTGTGTGTGTGTTCCATGGCCGGGCATCATTTGTCAATGTCGTCGTCCGCGCCTTGGGCGCTGAGCACACGCAAACTCCCTATTCATATCCGCACCTTCTGTGGCATGTTTGGTCCGCGTAAGTCCTGCGAATCGCTGGATTTCCATGGCACATGCACAAAATTTATACACATCTGCCACCTGTCCTGGCTGTCCTGAGACCCAACCCGACCCGACCTACCAACTACTTTTGTGGGAATTCCACCAGACGCCAAGCATAGGAATATTCTGCCTTTCCGTTATGCTGAGCTCCTGGCCATCGGCACATTGTTTTTATTATGGAGCACACTGGGAGTTGTGCTGGGCTACCCCTACCCCTGCCACTGTCCAAGCCACTGCACTATCGTTGTGGCAACCGCAGTGCCAGCCCAGCAGCTGCCTTGCCTCTAATTAAACGCCTTTGAAATTTGCTCCACTCATTGAGGGTCGACTTTGAATGCATTCAACCATTTAATTGATGCTGTTCTTTGCCATCTAATTGCCTCGATGATTGCCGTAGATGATTGTCGGCGGAGATGCAATTCCCAATGCAATGCGGTTTCCCCCGACTTGCCGCCTTGCCGCCTCCCCCATTTTCCTTTTGTGGTATAAGCGAAATTAGCTTTCGATATTTCTGCTTGTGTAAACATTTTGCAGGGAATACCATGGATGTTTACGGGTTGTTATAAGTTCCCTAGTGCAAATAGTTTTTTTTTTTTTTATGTCAACTTCTGCAATTATGAATACAATTTTATGGGCAACTCAATCGCTTGTTTTGGGCTTTCAGCACATAATTTAATTGGTAGTGGAAAAGTTTTAGTTAAGGCCCCTTCATCACAGAATTCAGTGAGTTGTACGAGCCACAGTCAAAATGTTAGGAGCGGAGCAAATCTATCCGAAACACTCAAGAAAGTCCAAGAATACATTTTAATGGTCATTTTAATGTCGAAGCCAGCTGAAAACCGCAAAAGCGCCGAGAACCAAGACTGATACAAGAGCCAAAAGCAGGCAAATGAACTGAATTTCGACTGGAGATAGAGAAGAGACTGTGCCAGAAACCGCTCAATTATTATGGCTAGCAGGGAGCCGCAAAAAGTCATTATCTGATATATTTGACATGTCCTCCCAGGCACACATACACAGACATGCGATGCGAGGAAACCCACATAAAAAGCAATTAACAATGAGGTAAAGGCCAAGTCCGTCCGGGCCATAAAGTTCAAGGGTTCAAAGATCTATTCCCGTATGCCGAAAAGTATGCAGCAGGCGAATGCGTAACGGGCGGGGAAAGTTAAAACTGAAAAGCTGAAACGCCGAGAAGCTTTCTTTCGCCTCTCCTACGTGTGAATAATCAATGACATGTGAGGCTCCAAAATACCATTCAGCAACAGACAAACGCAATCTGCCATCAGAAGAGCAGCAGAGCAGCAGAGGGAGGGGAAAATCCCCCCCACCACTATGTGGCAGAAGATCTGAAAATTATGAAATGAAAACTTTCCTACCATCCTCCCGTATCTCAAGGACAACTTTTGGAAATGAATTTTTTATGTCGCTCGAGGGGAGTGCCATCATTTTAGCATGGCTTGGCATTTTTTGAGGATTCTTCAAGAGAGTGTTGCAACTTGCAACTTATGCCACACACTGCCCCAGATAAGAGGGGACTGTGACTGTGCCCCCCCGAGGACTGTGCTCCCCTGGAATGGTGAGTGGCAGCAGCATCTTGAGAGATGTTTGGCGATGTTCTACACACACACACACACACACACACAAAAAGAGAACTATCTGTCATGGAAATGCTGCGCTTCCTGGTGGGAAATGAGTGGGGAATTCAGGTATAAACACCGGCAGGAGATTTTTCATTCAAGCTGAAGCTCGGTCTCATTAAACCTTCAGCACATATTTCTTTCTACAGCACCCAAAACATCTCTAGAAACAAATGGAAGTGTATCTAATGCACCAGAAACAACAAATTTTATGCGCCCCTACCAAAATGCTTGACAAATTGATTTTCGAGCACACAAAAATAAAAAGAAACTTAGGGTAAAACCAAACAGTTGACATTTAGAGTACAGTAAAAGGGTAACATGGGTTTTCCATCGCTGTTGCAAGCTTTGATGCCGTTCACTGCCTTTTTTGGAGGAAGTAAGTCCGCGAATACATCACAATGAATGAAATATGAAATACTCCATTTCCAGAGTGTGGTAAATTTCAGAAAAAAGTGAAAGAAAATTCGCGCCTTTTGCTCGCCTACAAGTGCATCTGCAAGGACGGCTATGTGTGGAGCGGTAAAAAGAAATGCGTTGCAATGTATATACCACCGTACACCAGTAGGCAACCGAAGAAGCAAACCACACAAATGAACACAGCCGGAAATACCAGCAGCACCACAGAAAGGAGCACAACCAGAAAGACCACAAAGACCAGCACCACAGAAATTAGCTCTACCAGAAAAACCACATTGTCAAGCACCACAAAACGGAGCACCACCAGAAAAACCACATTGTCAAGCACCACAAGAAGGAGCACAACCAGTGATCCTGGTCTCACAACATCGAGCAAGACAAGTTGGTGGCCCACCCAGTTTCCTACGAAAAAACGGACTCCAAAGAATGATAATGAAAACCTTAATATGAAAGACGCTGACTCAAGATTTATATCTGAAAAGAACGACTTCTGGAGTACATCTGAAACAGCTTATCATTTAGATATTCCCGAAGCCACTACAGTGTCACTACCAGACAACTTCACAGCAAATACTACACAAATTGCTTATTCAGCACATATTATGAAGCTAGTTACAGCCAGCACCATGACTACGGCATTTAGTGGGCACTGGTATAATCTGGTGGCTGGAGATTATTAATTTCACAATAATAAACTGATAAGAGAGAATCCATGAAGACTTTTCCGGCTGCTTCTAGGACTTTTAGACACATCCTTCCGTTTCTAATTACAAATGTTCTTCTTGCAAATTCCAGCATCCAGAAATGATCTTCTTCAGATTATTAAACCCATCATAAGTCCGTAGAAAGCATTTCCCCACTGCTCGCAAAGCTCCCCGTTAAAAACTTGAAGCCTTGCAATAATCATTGGCTAAAACCTAAAGCTGGGACTTAAGCACCTACGGACAGAACTTCTATAGCTAGGGAAGAATCTATTGAAAATCGAATAAAATGTGTTGCCTCCCACGGCATGGCCCCAAAAAGTTGAGTGTGCAATTAACAGACAGCTCTCCCGTAGCCGGACAATTCTCTGCCTCAACCCATGGATCTCATTCGACTGGGCACTTTTGTGCCACTTCTGGCGAAAAATGTGAAATAAAATAAATATTGACAGGCGAGAGTTGAGTTCCAGCAGCAGAGACGTCTGTGGGTTGATTTATGTGGCATGACTCATGAGCGTGAAAGTGTAACTGGAACTGAGAGTGCGACTAAGACTGAGACCGAGACCGGTCTAGATTTATATGGTGCCGGTGTTGTCCAATCTGTCCCGTCCAACTGAAGACCCCCGACAATTCCCAGACACGAAGGCAAACAAGCCAAAAGAAAAATTGAGAACTTTTTTTTTGGCAGGAGAGCCTTAGCACAGGGAGCACAGGGCTGCCAACGTTCTGCAGGCACTTGGCCCATGCATAGAATATAATATGCGGAAAATCACCCGAGCTAAGAGTACGTTGAACCATCGAAAAAAAAAAAAGAAGAAGAGAAATGCATATACAAGTATCGTAATTCCCTCCACTCATAGTTCGAATGCAAATGAGTGGGTGGGTGGGCCACAGATTTCTGCTGTGCTTTGCGTTTACTTTTTGCCAGATATGAGTACGCATATGAGTGCGGAATGGTACTCGTATTTCGGTCACAGATCGGGTGGAGGGGACCGGGAACCCCATTCACTTGTGCCTGTCAATCACTCTCCCTCTCTGTGACAGGCAAACGGCAGAGGCATATAGCACACGTAGTACGGCCAGTACACACAGCCACATCCATCCATCCATCCTCATCCAACCTCATCCCCATCTGGCTGCCAACGATGCGACGATGAGACAAACATTCCCACATTTGATTGACAGACTAAAATGCTCCTCCAACGTCTGGTAAAACGCAATGAAAGCGAAATACTAGACCACTCTTTACATATATTTCTTTATAATTAAATTTAGCAGAATTCTCAATTATTTATGCCCAATTAAATTGTATTCAGCGTACAATAGAAAAGGAAACACAAAATTAATGACTCAATTATTAATTGGCGTCATTAAATTCTAGAAATACCCGGGCTAAACACCTACTAAATATGCCAAATGCATATTTCATGTCAGTGCCACCGCTCCAGACGAAGTCTGGTCTGGGTCCCCCCACACCATAACAAATGTGTGCAAAATTCTGTCAAAACTATTAATTAATGTGTTGCTGTGCAGATTATTATTTTTAAATGCCATGCATTTATTCTAGTATACGCTCAGATCATTTGCATTTGCCATAATCCGTGCTGGCAAGAATGGGGCACAAACTTAATGTAACATTAATTTCAAGTGTCCAAATGGTCCATCTTTTTGGCTGGCCGAAGGAGTGGAAAATGCAAAGAAGACGTCTGTCTTTTTCTGTGGGTAGGATGAGCATGAATAGAGCTAAGGCTAGAAGCAAGAGATTTGTCAACGAACAAATTTATGAATTCAAATGGGAGGTTTAGTGGAAATGTGTAAGGAAAACGGAATAAGGCAGAAGAAAAATATGAAGAAAAGATTATGGGATGGGAGAGAAAATACATAAGTGAATACCTGATATTTTACTATTCCATTCCACTTTAAATATATATGTATATTCTGTTCTACTCTATCGAATTAGATCTCCTCTTTATTCCTTATTGGCTACACTTTTAGCCACACATTCGTTTATGGAAAATAGAAATAAACCACTATAAATCTATATTTAAAACGAGTTTAAAATTGATTCTCAGATATATATTTTCGATGGGTTGATTATCCCTAAAAATATATTACTGCCAGCGAAACAAAATATAGCTAAAAATAGTTGCTATGTGTAAATACCTTTGGATAATACACACGCAAAATACTCCCACAAAATGCTATCAATTTATCGGCATTGATATTTTGTGCGCAATTATATTTTCTAGCCGATAATCAACTAATTCATTATGGAATTTATTATCAATATCCGACACCATTTCCATCTATAATCATTTCTCACTCTTTAATCGCTTGCAAGTCATTTAATTTGCATAATGTTTCCCCTGTTTTTAGATATTGCGTAAACGCAATAAACGCGTAAATTACGCAAAAAATTACCATTTCGCTATTAGTTAGCTGTGGGCGTAGCATCTAAATTCCTAAATTACATCAAATTATCAGTAGAGCAGAGATATACTGCATATTTATGTATGTCCAAATACGAGTAAATATGGAAAAGTAGTCATTAAAAATTCAGTCGGTGTTTCGACTGTCCCAACTCTGCTTATTTTTCGACCAGTTTATTGATTCGCTGAAAGTCAATTTCGGTAAAAATGAATTTATTTTTATGGAATGTTGAGTGAAAAAAAAATTTGAAAACTATACGGATTAAACTGAATGTTTACACACTCTTTTTATTCAAAGATAAGTACAGAAATTGTAGCTTAAACTCTACTAATTTGTTTGCTTGTACGTCGATGGATCGCTGTTTTCCTCGATCCAGATGCTGCAACCCCAGAAAATTCATACAGTATGTTAATCCTGTTTAAAAAAACATTTACATTGTTTATAACCTCTACCCTCCTACCCCCTGAAAGTGTATACAAATTAATAGAATTTATAAGTAAAGTTTTTACCAGCGAAAAACTTTAGCACAACAGAGACAACCACAAAAAGGGACAACCCATGGGCTGGGCTGATGAGGGTTTTGAAAATGATAAACTGACCTTCATATAAGATGGTGTTGGCCTCATGTGTCTGCATTCCCAGACGGCTTGGCTGGGAAACCACGGAAAACTTTGCCCGTCTGCTGGCGTCTCTTTGGTGTTGGTTAGCCAAATTCTTTCTTAATTCAATCAGCCGAAATACGCTTTAATGTCGATAATAGTATTTAATATTCCTTTGGGGGTCATATTTAAAAGCAATCTTTAATAATCTGCTGGCGGCGCTAATTGCTCTCGACATGCGAAAATGCCTTGGCCGTAATTAAATTACGAACATTGGGCTTAAAATTCCCTTTTGGCTGCTGCATTAATAAAGACATTTGGCGAAACCAAGGGGAACTTTGTTCTTGTGGTTGATCATTTAATTTAAAGTTTTTTTCGGGCACAACTTTCGGGATTTGAGAAATGGTAAACAATAAACAGTTTCCTTTTACGCAGGGATTTTAAGCACTTTTCAGTGTCAACGCAAAGGGAACAACAAGTGACGGAAGTTCAACCCAGGGGATTAAAAGTTTTGCTCAAAAGGCGAAACTAAAGCCTGACTCAAAAGGATACGACAGTTGCCGTCTTTTGCCTCCTATCCTTTCCCATTTTTCCGGCTTTTCCTCCCTCCTTCTGGTTCTCTCTTTCTCTCTCTCTTTTGGACTATGATTGAATATGTTTTTCTTTGACTTTTTTCTGCCAACTTTTTTGCAGCAGCAGAGCAACTTTAATCTGTGCCACATGGAAATTATTTTAGCAGTTTTCCCCAGAAGTTTCAGCTCTAACAAAAACTGATTATTTGATATTCTCCTAATGACTCGGACAGAGTATATTCCGAAGAGTTTGCGCCAGGTGAATGGTTGCCCTCGCCCCCCACAGTCCACAGCAATTAGATTTTCATGCTAGAGGCAGCAAAGCGCCAAAATGCGAGAGAAGACAAATGGTTCATGTTCTTGAAAATGATTTATTTACTTTATAAAAAATTAAGAGGACGTGAAATTCAAAAAGATTTAAAACTGAAATTTATTTATTTGTCTAGTATTTATATTCTAATACTTAAGATTAAAGTGGAGCATTGCTAGCTCTTCAAATCTCATTAGACTACATAGAACACATGCATATGTATGTAAATATGTTCATATGTATGTATGCATATATTTTGCAATTTCCAATCATTTTCATATGCATCATCCAACTGCAAAATGCTACCAATTAACACACAAAATAATCAATCAGCCAAACGAGAAAGGTTCCGTTCCCTCCCGAAACCCTGCCTAATTCGCAATCAAATCTATTCATTTCTGTCACTGTCCAGTCGTAATCAAAGTTCAATCAACAAGCAGACCACATTGCATCCCAAAATCTAACAGAGCTTCAGCTGTGTTAACAGTGTACGGTTACGCGCTAACAGCGCCAACGAAAGTGAGAGTTCTCGTATAAGAGAGAGAAAGTTCCCTCGAGAGAACGAGCGAAAGCTGTTAATTGAAGGAAATTGCAATGCGAGCCATGCCATGCCATGCCATGCCATTCTGCCACCATGCAGCCAGCAACAACAACAACAGCAACAGGAGCAGAGGCAGCCGCAGCAGCGACAAAAGCATCGCCGAACCGCAACACGCATCAGGCCAATCGGGCGACGAACCTGAACCCGAAGGAGGCGAGCGATGTGTAACTGTATAGCCGAGGAGTGGCGACTCTGCACTCGTCTCTCGCATTGCACCACAACGAAATTCGCCGGCAAGTGCGGCGCCACAGTATGCAAAACAAAGCCGAAACGTGCACCAGTGGCAACGGCAGAAACTACAGCACGCACGAACGAGCTCAACGGTAAATCACAAAAACAACCGTTCTGCGAAACGCGCGCGAAAACCACACACAGAAAAGCAGAAACCATAGCTGCTGGCGGCCGCTCCACCTGCTCCTCCTCTTCGACATAGATGCCTCTCGAGGCAAATGTAAATTAGCAGCCAGAACGCAAAAAGAAAATACACAAAATAAGTGGCAGAATACGCACCAGCAGACGCAGCATCCCCCATCTAGAATCTGCAACAGAATCCACACCGCATCCGAACCAGCAGCAACAGCAACATCACACGCATCACAAATAAATCCGGCAAGAGGGAAGGCCAAAAGTGAAAAAAAAAAAAAGAGAAATCCGAGAAATTGCAGAAACATTTGCCAAAATATTTTGAGAACCTCAAAAAGTGCATCGTCGTGTGCCATTTCGTGGAAATTTTGCTGGGATACATCATCT